CGCTTGATGCTCCCATGTAAAGACACCTTTACTCGTGATCCAAGTATTCCTTGGTGTACATTGGAACACGCGGCGCGAGCAAACCTTATGTTTTCTGGACGCAGCCATTCTATGTTGAACGCAGTCCTGTGGTCTGTTCTTTCGCTCTGCACTGCTGCACTGGTGCAATAAGTTAGAGTGAGACAAATATATATATATCTCACTCTAACTTATTGCAGCAGTGCAGACAAAAGAACAGACCTATTGTTTCTTTTAACCTACCAATTCTTTTAACTTCTATTCCGAACCTGTAAAGCGGGAAGCACACACTCTTGTATAATAAAGGTATAATACACTATATATAAGAAAATTGACTAATCAGAGTCCTTTAAAAAAAATTAGCTCCAAAAAGTCTTCACTAAATTAAAAAAAAAAACTATAATATAACCCTTTAATTCTCGTGCACGAGAACAGGTTAGGTAAACTTTGCTGCAACTATATATTTTCATATCGACAATTACACAGTGCATCTGTTATACCACATGGTTTATCGCACATCAGGTAAGAATGAATTATTACATTGATAGAGTACAAATAATATTCATATCTCGTTCGTTGTAGCAATAGGAGGCATAATTTAATATAATGACTTAATATTTCAGTGATTTTTAGTCAACTAATAAAATATATCATCTGTTAAAAGGTGCTTTTTATAGATTTCTCAATTACATCAAGTCACCTATTCAAGAAACCTCAGTATTTTATTCTTTTTTACGCAAAATGTCAGAGAACATGGATAAGAAGGTGAAAATTGGTACTCATAATGGTGTTTTCCATTGCGATGAGGTGCTTGCCTGTGTGCTTTTAAAGCTATTGCCACAATATATGAATGCTACCATAGTGAGGTAAATTATTTTACGACTTATAAATGAAAGTAGTATATCACGATTATATTAAGTGTATTCTAAAGAGGACTTATAATATTAAAGGATAAACCATAATGAAGACAAAGAAAAAGAAAGAAAGTAGCAATTGACTCAGGAAGAATTGACTTATAATATCTATGTGTGTTATGTTATATTCTTAGATCTCGAGATCAAGATATCTTAGACAAATGTGACATTGTAGTGGATGTTGGTGGAGTGTATGATCATTCCGCCCATAGATACGATCATCATATGAGGTAATGTATTCTATATTGTAATACCTTCTAAAGAGAATGCTGAAAGTTCTTTACAAATTCGTACAATATCTATGACGTAGAAACGATCGTCACTAACACAATCGCGCTATCCTTTTCGTGTTTCTTGTATACACAAGATCTTACGTGTGTTGCTTTGTTTTACCTTAGGTCTGTTCTTCTTAGCTTAACTATTTGAATTGGTGCTAACTTATTACACCAGTCTGCATCAGTCAGATTTTCAGCTTCAGTATCCCCATAATATGTTATTATTCTTCTTTTGCGTAGAGAATTTTGCCAAACATCACGCACTGTGCTGAAGAATCCAAATTACAACGACAAGATCAAGTTGAGCAGTGCTGGCTTGATTTACTGTCATTTTGGCCATGAAATATTGAGGAATCTACTTCCAGAAGTAAAGGACGAAGACATTGAAGCGATCTTTAAGAAAATCTATAATACTTTAATTGTGGAAATTGATGCTATAGACAATGGTATACAGATGTATGAACATCCATTGTAGGTATCATATCTGTACTATTCATATCTATATCGCGTCTGTTTTCTGACATAGGACACTTTTGTTTACTACAGGTATTCCATATGTACTAACTTGAGTTCTCAAGTGAAACACCTGAATCCTCCTTGGAATAGTACAAATATGAATGAGGAAGAACAATTTGAGAAAGCCATGGCTTTGGTACTTGATGTATTTATGGATTTTGTGACTCGCGCTGAGAAAATCTGGCTACCAGCAAAGGAAGTTGTGCGAAACGCCGTGGCTAATCGATTTACGGTGAGACAATGATTTTCTCCTTTATTCACACGTCAGGTGAATTCCCGATTGATCGTTGAAACTTGAAAAAGAAAATGTATCTTGAAGGTTGACCCAAGCGGAGAGATAATGGAATTGTCGGAACCAGCACCGTGGGAGGAGCATCTATTTACATTAGAGGAAGAACTGACAATAAGACCATTAATAAAGTTTGTCATTTTCTCGAGAAAAGGCGAGAATCGAGTCCAAGCTGTACCGTCAAGATACGGTGTTTTCGAATGTAGATTTGACCTTCCTAATAAATGGTGGGGCTTACGTGATGACACGCTCGTGGCAGCTTGCGGAATCGAAGGCGCCATATTTGTGCACGCAACTGGGTTCATAGGCGGACACAAAACTAGAGACGGGACCTTAGCTATGGCGCGGGAAGCCCTCAAAATTATAAAGCATGATGATCCAAACATGATGGAACATGATGGAAGTCTATAATATGACAGAGTAGGAGACAATTTTTAAGTGTTTAGTCGATTTCTCACACTTTGGATCATCAGTTAGATAATCTAAATTTTTTATATTAATAAAGACTAAAGCATTATAGGTGTAACGGAAAGAATGAGTTACGTGATATACAGTCGTCAAGACGTTTGAAACATGATGCATTTATTAGTAGAACTTCCTCCTCACATCAGATCCATACAGAGTGACACGGAACGAGTGTTCCTCTGCACAACGTCTTTCGCCGATCAGGCTGAGACGGTTTCGAAACGTAGGCAAACTTGTGATCGATACACGGATATTTCCTCGGGTCGTCAATTAGCGCTTTGAGCGGACACGGCTAAGTGCTTGGCCTTAGCCAGTGCCACTTCGGGGGTATCTATCACCCTGCCGTCAGGTCCAATAGGGGCATAACCGTGATTGTAGAGCCACGATGTACTCAAGGCGCCATAGGGAAGTCCAACTGTTTTGATGGCCTCCTGCAACACAGATTATTATTAATCTGCATGCGAATGCAAATAGTATGAGTATGGACTACAGTAGGCAACGACATTTTCTATCGTTTGTATTTGAATACGAGACACTTTGGCATCATAAGTCGACGTTGTCCACTTCAAGGTTTAAATATCCCAACAAGCTTGAAACTTAAGCGCTTAACACATTGTGGATCGAGTCTTGTGTTATCAACGTCTTTGGCAACCGGGAACGTTAATTCATTTCTTTAAAGGACTGTATGCGGTATTAATATAATGATATTATAAACTATCACTACACACACACTGAGAAAAATTATTCAATAAAAAAATTAACAAACGGGTATTTCCGATTAAAATATCGATGAATTTTTATATCCGATTAATCGAATACTTCATGGTATTTCATTAGATAAATCAGCCAAAAAGTTTCTAGTAAACACAAAGTATCATCCATATTACAATGTTAGCTCAATCATATGGTATATTATGTAATTGTTACTTTGTTATGTAACAAAGTAACAGTTACATGTGTTTACTGGGTTATAAACTAATATTTCTTATCGGATGTTTCCTGACCGGATACAAAAATTTATCGGTATTTTGATCAGAAATATCCATTTGTTAATTTCTTATCGAATAATTTCTCTCAGTGTAGAGTGCATTATCTGTATATGATATGGTTGGCTCACACAAAAATGGTGTGGTTAGTTCGCACATAAATCTAGTTGTGCATAGTTGTTGTATCAAAGTAACCGAGCCATATCAATATTACCATCGCACAAAGACGACTGGGATAACGTAAATATGCTGCTGACAACTAAATACTTTTGATTATATGCACCATATTTTCTTCAATATATATTTTAAGTCCGAATAAAATATCGCAACTATACGTCCGGTCAGCGCAATGCGTTAACATTTCGCCAGTCGTTTTGTAACTCTCGACCGTCCATAGAGAGACTACATGGGACTACGTCGATCGACTTCGATTCTCAAAAACGGAAAGACGTGGTGCCACGTCGTCGTCGTCGTCGTCGTCGTCGTCGTTGTCACCGATGACGGAAGGTATCAAGTGGAACGGTGAGTTACTTCCAGCGCATAATTCGTCGTGGCGCGGTTCAACGAGCGGATCTAAACGCTACTCGCGTAACCGTCTCCGAACGTCGTACTTGGGCGTGAGCGGCGAGATGGGCAGCCTTGGCCTGCGCGACCTCAGGTGTGTCTACCACCCGGCCGTCCACGCCGATGGGCGCGCCGTACGTGATCGCAGGTGGATAAACTGCTAGAGCGTATCTGTAACCGAGCGTTCCTGTGTTCCTGGCGGCCTCGTAGGCCTGAATGGCGAGATGCGTCGCTTTCGCTTGAGCCACCTCCGGTGTGTCCAGGATCCCGCCGTTCGGCCCGACCGGCACACCGATGTGATAAGCCAGATAAGCCGGCGTCGCGGTCGCGATGGCGCACAGTGCGGAGAGAACGATCTGAAAAATAATTGTGTCAGACACGGAGTGTTTCTCCTGTTTGATTCAATATTTCTTCGGGTTGTTCCACGGATTTTTATGGGAAAGTATAATATCGAGCGAATTTGTCCACGAAATTTCGCTCTCGACATACTCCGTCGCGGTGTTAATTAAAATTAAGTATTATAATCTATTTCATTGAGAAAAGTAAGTCAATCCTCTCGCAAACAGAGAAACTTTGATCAGCCAGCGATTGACGTAGCGACAGAGAGAGAGAGAGAGAGAGAGAGAGAGAGAGAGAGAGAGAGAGAGAGCGACTAAATCAAAATCGTATATAAGCAATAATTATTAGGCTCTGATGATTAAGTAAAAATTAAGGTGACTGGATCGATAAGAGTCCATGCACAGGTGTCTAAGCCTGGTTGCACCAACATTATTTTGGCTTTAAGCGAAACTTAAACATATATCTATCTTTATCTTTCTTTCTATATAAATAAAGATAGACATATATTTAAGTATCACTTAAAACCAAAATAACGTTGGTGCAACCGGGCCTTAGCGCCATAACGGAAATAATTTCAAATTCTTATAATTGTTGAGGATATTTTATTTATGATCAGTTGGAGAGATTAAACGTCTCGGTCTTATTCTGGACCCTTTCCTTAGTGGTAAAATTAAACCGAGATAAACTTAAAGAATAAAGTATATTTATGAAAACGCATTCCTCCTCCCGCGTTCTAATTATTTCTAATGATTTCCTTTATGGCACTAAGACACCTGTGCATGAGAGCTCTTATCGACGCAGTTAATTTTGATTAAATCAGAATCTGTTTTTTTTCGCGAGACCAAGACACGCTTGGTCGTCGATGCTACTCACGAGAGCCCTCATGTCTTATTAGTAGTGGTGAAGAAGCGCTGCTGGCTGATCACCAGTACTCGCCCTATGGACTGCTGTGTCGTACCAAATGTCGGGACTCCGATCTGCTTTTATATAGCATGTGAATCCTGGTAGGGAGTCGTCGACCCGTAGGAGGGGACCACACCTTGTAGCAAGTATTGCGCCTCAAAAGTGCCGACATTGACATTTGTGACATTAATGACATTTGCTGACATTGATGTTAATGAGACCCTGCGACTGTGTTCGTCGCTCTCGTTTCGCCCGGAGGGGATGCTTCTCCGACAAGCGTGTAGACGCATCGGCGAGGTCAGCTGCATCAAACTACCGCAGAACGACTTCGTCGACCGACTACCCTTCGCGTAGGTTGTCATCAAGAGCAGCAACCACCGACGTCGAGGGACCTACTGGGAAGGCTGACGTGTCGATTTTTAGACAATGAATCAATTAGTTTTTGCCGGAGACCGATGTCGCGAGAAAGATCGTAAGTCGTAAAATATCTTTGTTACGTGAAGAGCTTAACCTACAACGTGTTCTCTGCTTCCTGTTTCTTTCTCTTTGTCTCTTTCTAACTCAAATCGCAAATTAGAAAAAGATAGAACAAAAACATATTGTAGATAGGAAGCAAAAAGCATATTGTAGATTAAGCTTAAGGGGATGCTGAAATCGATGACGAACTCGAACAAGAAAATCACTAGAAATAATTAGAACGCGAGCGGAGAAATGCGTACTCATTTTCACAAATATATTCTATTCGTTCATCTCGATCTTGGTTTAATTTTAGCACTGAGGAAATTATCATTCTAGATATGTGACATGAATATTTTATTAAAATCCTAATTTCGAAGAGGATCTATGCTTCAAAGGGTTAATGGAACTTCTTATGCTGAAGGGAACACACAATAAGGGGAAGATAACTGTCGAAAGCATTTTCTTTTTTTTAACGTGCATATATACGCAGCAGTGCGGTTCTCTTTCTCTCTCTCTCTCTCTCTCTCTCTCTCTCTCTCTCATTGGTAGATTTATGCGCTAATTTTAACTTAAGGAAGTCTTTCTTTTCGCGTCTCTATAGCCAAAAAAAAAAGAAAGGCAAGGTCATCGCGTATTTTGATATTCTCAGAACACCGGTCGATAGTCGTCCTTGCTGATGTCGAATTAAAACTGCCGATAAATAGAAAAAAAAGGGGCGAGTGTAATTAAAATATATGGAGCCAAGTAGGAAAAGAGATCTCCGGCTGGCCGACCAAAACGAAGGTCGGCCGTGCGTCCTCGGGACCGTGAAATTTTTCCCGAACGCGATCGGGACGAATGTATCGCTTTCTCGGTTTGACGCGCCCGATAAGTATCGGGTGCAAAGTCCCGTCTTTTTACTCGTCGTCGTTGTAAGTTCGACGTCAAGGTCCCCCCCGATGGAATTTTCTTCGCGTGACCTTGCGCGTATTGTTTGCGAACCGTTCGTGTCTGTCGCTGTTACAAGCGCGTGAGTCTGTAAATTGGATTTTTATTATAATAAAAAAAAAAACAGTTTCATGTCCAGCGCACACACACATACATATAGTTTCACAGTAAACACTAATTGTGACTCTTTTAGGGAGATTGCATTAACTTGGACGATCTCCATACATAAAAAATACACGTTGTATCCGAATAAATGTTACTTGTTCCAGGTATTTCATTAGTTTATTATCCGTAGATCTATCATAATAAATATGAAATTTGTTTAAAATACATCCTGAATCCTAAGAAGGATTCGAGTTTGGCATTTCAAGAATGTTAAATTAAAAGAAAAATTCGGTTTACTCGTATTACATAGAGAAAACATACACACATACATTTGAACCACCCTTTATAAAATTTTCATAAAATGTAATGACAATCAATTTTTATTTTGGTTAATGATCCTTTTTTTTTAATTTGGTGATGACGTATTTGGTAATTTGATGAGGTCTTTCAAGATTACACTGAAAAAAAATACTTAAAAATTTATGAAGTTTATTCACAAAAATAAACTTTATATATTTCGTAAAAATAAGTTTTGTCTCAAAGAAGTGAACTTTACATTTGACGAATAAATTTTCAATATTTTTCTCAGTCTATTATCAAGAAAATAACCTTTATTAAAGATAACTATTTTACTGAGCAACCGTCTCTCTTAGCAGTAGAGCAATATTGTTCTGTGTGGTAGAAAAATGGAACAAACAATTTTTGTGGCAATATATCGTCTCGGAGAATCAGACGAAAAGCCTCTTGCACGTCTATGTGGGCTTAATAACACGCGGATCGCGCAACGACTTGGCGAACAAAAGCCCTTTTCCTTGGAATTTCAGATAATCTCGGCACACCCGATGACCCTATTGTCTATCGCGCATAAGTGCACGCCAGGTACCAAGGCGGATACCTTAAATGCTCAATAAACGACACTTATAATTAGCTGGCCAACTCTGCATTTTCCTCCGAGCGTGGGCCGCAATATGATCTCGCGATATGACCCATAAATACCGATAAGGAGAACCAAGTGATTATACACACACACACACACGTCGTTAGGCGAAATATGGTTCTTCGGATCGACACGTGCGCAACGAGATAATCATGAGAGTAATTAAGTGAATTAAAATCGCGTATATGGGAGGAATTTCTTCATCGTGCACGTGGAATTCGCCTGGAGCTGACGAAAGGACTCGAGAATGTGATAAAGGTGAGCCCGAGTGACGTTTTAACGCGACATAATGAAGAACTCTTTCAAGGTGTCTCTTGTCCGAAAGTGTCCGATATGAAATGTTGCGATCCTTGAGATCGAATTCGGCTGCGACGTGTGCGGGACGCCGTAGGTACTCGAGAGCGGTGTAACGCGAACGGATCGATCATTCCTCGGATTTGCTCGCGTACGTGAAAAAAGACGATGAAGTATGCCGGCCACACGAGCGCGAGGCCGCAAGCGGATGTTGACAGGTATACGCCTGTTACACACGCTGACTCCACTGTCCGATTATTTATAGCATCCTGCATGTATCAGCTCGAGGTATCTCTTAAATCACACCTTTCCTTCTAACGTTCACGAGCTATATGCGAGCTGGGCTTTCTGAGAGTTATGTTGCACGGTATTTTAGTCGTGTCAACGAGTCGTCATCCTCCACGTCAACCTCCAGTCGAAAGTGAGACTCGTATACGAGATGGAGTTTTTTAGAACATTCAATAATCCTTATCAAAACGGATGTCAACTTCGAAGAAAATCATATGTAAGAAAATGGCAACTATATGTAAGAAAAAGAAGTCTCGTGTAACTGACTAAATACAAGACGAAAAACTCACTGACGAGAAGTAATATCTTTGTTGCCCGAAAACATTCTAAGCATTTAGCTACATGAAAAATTGGCTGAGGTAACTGAAAACAGCTGGCTATGTGGAAAATTTCCTGCAGGAATCTTTCTACTTCTACAACCGAGCTTTTCATCTCATTCAACAGAAAATTCAGTTACATTAACGGAGTTGTTTTCTTCTGTGTGGATGACAACTCTAAGATTTTTGTATGTAGAATTATATAACGTAATATATATATATATATATATATATATA